CCTCCCGAATGCTACTCCCCTCCAGAGCCTTCCTTGGCCTTCCCTTTCTTGCTGCCACGCCCCTTGAATCCCTGCATGCCATAGGCAGAGCCTCCACCTTCACCAGCAGCGGCGGTCAGCTCCTTCCTCCGAAACTCCTCTTGAAGAACTTGTGCACGGATCTGTCAGAATCCCAGCCACTAACCACTGGGATAAAAGGGCTTGTTAAGAATCGGGTCAGTGCACCCATAACCCCCCAAGCCACCATGCCTGTAACCCTTCCCTAGGATCAATCGGGGATCACCATTGGACCTCTGACAGGGTCCACTCTAGGGACCACGAGTCCTTCATGCCATTGAGGTTGACCACCAAGGGCCCCCACGGCTCCGGAAGCAGGGAGAGAGCCTTGTAGCACTTGATTTTCTCAGGTTAGTCCACACCAACAGCTGAGAGCTTCACATAGAGGTCCCGGAGTTGATCGAACGCTCCTTGTACGGCATCACCCTCGTTGATTTTCACCGCATGGAGTTGTCGCTCGAGCACTACCACCATTGCTTCGCTGCTGGGGGCATGGACATCCTTCAATATCTTCCATGCCTTAGAACCACACTCAACTTCCTTGATGAGATGCTTTATGTGGTGCAGCTGGTTGGATGAGAGGCATTGGGACAGAAGGAAGAATCCATCCTTGGACCGGCGATCCCATTCCTTGGTCGCTCCTTCGCTCGCAGGCCTCTTCAATTCTCCACCCATCACCTCAAGCAGCCCATAATGGTTGAAGAGGAGCTCCATACTGAAGCTCTATGATGCCCAATCCTCCCCGCAGAACTTTTCTAGGTTGAATGTCTTCACATCATCCTTAGCTGATGTTGAAACGGAATGCATTGGTGCAGATCCGCCTGCAACGCCTCTTCCCGCTTCCCCAGCGCCTCTCACGCCACCACTGCCACTGGGACCAGCTGGAGCAGAACCTTCAGCCTCCATATTCACCCACGAACAGAGTAAAATAGCTCTGATACCACTTGTTATAACCTTCAGTCCACTTAGGGGTCGCGGATGCCCATGAAACCGCCTAAGTAGAAACTGATGACTTCGAACCGCTTCTGTTCAAAACGCCGTCATGATCAGCTCCGATAACACATGAGGCTGAAACTTAGAGCTTTCATCAGAGGTGTATGCACTACGCAATGAATGAAAACGTAAGCTCGGCTGAAAACGTGTATTCTCATTGATGCAAGGAAGAGGTGAGTACAACATGGCCTAGGGAACTCTTTAGGGGTTGGGATCATCCTGGGAACTCAGAGAAGGTTGAGTCCTAGGGGAGAAAGGCTAGAGAAGGATGAAAACACCCTACCTGGGTCAGCAAAGCCAACCACACTTGGATGTTCAGAGCTGTACCCAAGGCTACCAATGGTGTTTCAAGCCAACCATGAGTCAGCTTGTCTTCCCACTTGCACCCTCTTGCAAGCTGCTTCCAAGAAGACCACACTTCTCAAAAGGAGGGTGGTAGAGTCCCACTTGACCACCTGTACTTCTTGTCTCATTCTCTGTCCTTGCACCATTGGCATGACAACAATGAAAGGGTGGCAAGGAAAATGCTGCCAACAGTGCACCATGACTACGGAGCAGTGACTTTCGACAACTGTCACACAATGCTCCAATGTTGGATCGTTCGAAAACTTGGTAACCATCTGCACAACAGGGCAAAAGACTGCCAGACTGAATTTCAGACCAATCAGAGCTCGTCAGACGAGTCAGCAGCCGAAATGGTGAACTCGGGTGTTACCAAAAAATGAGTAACACACACTTCCGGGATGCCATAAGTCTTGAAACTTAAATGTTGTCATGCCTTGTTAACTGCTTCAAAAACCCTGAAACTTTGAGGGTTTGAAGAACACATGTCGAAAAACCTCCCCACGAAATTCCAGAAGCTGAGCAGACTTGTAGGCCGAATGGGAGTGCAATGACCGTGCCACTATAATGTGTTGGCACAACTCTTCCGCCTTGTGAGATCTTCAACACAGGTTTTGTGTGCAGTTAGGCCTTATTAACACAAGTTCTCGTCTTGTGTAGACATGTGTTGTCTACTTGCTTTGTTTGTACTCTTTACATATACCTCTGTTAACTATCAGACTGGCCTTGTGGCCTCTTGTTTGTGCTCGGATTGTGTGGTGACGTTGTGATCCACCTTGAGCTTTGTCTCTTTGTGACTGATCTTGTGACTGTACGGTTTGGTTGTTGCATGACACCCCTCACTTAGGCTATTGGGGTGTGTCAAATGTTGTAGCCTGTAGTGAGGCATGTCATGTGGGGTAAAGTTGTTAGGGTTAGGTATATGTACCCCAAGTCACAGTAATACATCATTCATTCCGTTTCTAACAAAGAAATACTCCTGTTTTGAGACCATGTTTTGCCGCTCCTCTCTGCTACCCTCCAGCTTGAGCCTCTCATTCAGCAATAGCTCAGTCAGGGAGATTACCAGCACCAACGACAATGGCCTCGGTACCATTGAAACGCCATTCTGCACCTGTAACCCTGTCTGGCCTCTTCTCTCTGCAGTTAGTGTGGTGTGGTTCCTTATACAGTAGCATGTGGGTGTAGTGAGGTGAGTGGTGCGGGGCAGTGCAGTGGCATGCAGTGGCATCTGTTGTAGCGAGTAACATGTGGTGCGGCGCAGTGTTGGGTTTTGGTGGTGATCTGACCGGTGTGGTGGAGTGCGGTGCGGTTTCATCAAGAATGTGTACTTGAACCGCTGGGACCAATATGGTTGGATCGGCTCTTTTTAGGTAAGCCCCAACGTGGCTTTTGAGAATTCTCAAAAGCGGATCAGTTAGTCTTGTGTAAGGCTGCAGTCCAGGAAAAGGTTGCAGTCTTGTATAAGGATAGAGTTTTGGATAAGGCTACAACTCTGTATAAGGATGCAGACTTGTATAAGGCTGTAGTTACGTATAAGGCTGCAGTTCTGTATAAGGCTGCTATTCATATTCAGGCTTATACATGACTGATTTTTTATTCAACTTCAAAGTTTTGAGACGTCTCAAAAGTCCTCTATTCAGGCTAATACATGACGGTTTAACCTATTCAACTTCAAGGTCTGTGTGATCCTGTATGCAATTCTATCTTGTGTGCCTTGGTTTACAGAGCAATGGTGCCTTGGCGCCTTGGTGCATAAAACAGTGGTGCCTTGGTGCACAGAGCAGTGGTGCCTTGGTGCCTTGATGCACAGAGCTGTGTTGCCTTGGTGCACAGAGCAGTGGTGCCTTGGTGCACAGAGTAGTGGTGCCTTGGTGCACAGGGCAGTGGTGCCTTGGTGCACAAAGCAATGGTGCCTTGGTGCACAAGATAATGGTGCCTTGGTGCACAGAGCAGTAATGCCTTAGTGCATATAGCAGTGGTGCCTTGGTGCACAGAGCAGTGGTTCCTTGGTGCATGTAGTGACTCTCACAGCAAAGGGTACCAGAGCTACTCTTATTTTTCCCTCTGCACATTTCCTCCTGCCTGTTTCTCTCTTTTCCATCACTAACTCAATTCAACAACGCCCAATGAGGCCCAACTCACTCGCTCACTCGCTCACTCACTTCACTCATCCACTTACTCACCCACTCACTCACTCACTCACTTACTCACCCACTCGCTCACTCGCCTCACTTACTCGCCTCGCTCATTTGCTCACTCACCTCATTCACTCGCTCACTCGGCCAACTCACTCGCTCACTTGCCTCAAGTCCGTAGCACAGAGGCCTTGTGGCGACGTGAGTTGCGTTGTTTTAGGCAAACTTGAAGTTTGGTACCTGCTGATCAGAGAGGAGTACGGGAGACAACGTTCTCAGGGAAGGCATTCGGAAAGCGTCATGAGGGGTGCTGCACGGTGAGGCGAGGAGAGGCTGGAATGGCGGTCGTAGAAACAAAAGCGCCGAGGAGAAGATAGACGTGATATAGCATGGCAACAAAAATGCGTCATACAAAATGACACAGCGAGAAAGAAGCTATGTAAAAGAGATGGGAATTAGATCCAGATATTTTGTTTGTGAGGCAAATATCCTAACCATTAGAATGCTACGCTGTAATGGTATGTAAATAATCAATATAGAATGTAACACAAACCTAGAATTCTCTCTGCATGACGAAGCTAATGACGGTCGTCATTTTTCTCATGTTTCCCGTTGGGTCCTTGAGCGACACAGTGGGGTAACCTCGCGAAGGTTCCCCAATCCTTGAACAACTCTCATCAGTTGTTGAGTTGACAGAGTCATTGTCCGTTGTTGAGAGTCGTTGCACGACTGCCTTGGCATTCCAGCTGCCCACTCGACTGAGCAGGAACCTCTACGACCATAGTCGTGCCAGCAAGGCAGAGAGCAAAGAGCTATGACGATGAGGTCAGGGTCAGAGAGGAAAGCGAGGCAAGGGGAGAAGCTAAGATCACGGTTCTGAAGGAATCTGGACGTCGTGCGAATAGACTTCACACGATCGCCGGGAGTCGTGCATGCAGAGTTGATTGGGCGCGAGGTTCCGCATTTCGTCAACAGTCGCACACGCAAGTGTCGGTTGGCGGCACGTGGGGTAAATCTGGCGCAACGTGGGAGGGAGCTGCCAGGCTGGACCCAATGCACTTTTGGGACGCTTGATGTAACTCTGTGTAACCCACGGAGATTCCCAAGAAGGCGATCTAGTTTCATCGCCCGAGGTACAACTGATTTCAACTAATTTCACGAAGTACCACCCTTTCTGGTGCAGTCGTAGTGACAGCAGCCAGAATCAGCATTCGTTTTCTAGTTGGGTCCTTTGAGCGACATAATGGGGTAACTTCGCGATGGATACTCCAACGGATCCTTCCATCTCGAGCTCATCTCGGCGTCGAGCTTATCTGGGATGTCAGTGACACCAGCAGTGTCGTTGAGGGTCATTGTGCGTTGTTGTAAGTCATTGTACCTGTTGTTGTACTGCATGTGAACCACACGACCGAGCAGGAACCTCGACGACCATAGTCGTGCCAGCAAGGCAGAGAGCAAAGAGCCACGACGATGAGCAAACGCGGGAGGAAAGCGACGCAAGCGAAGGGAAAACTTCAGCTTCATCGCCTGTGCCGCTTACTATTGATTTCACGAGGTACCACCCTTTCTTCTCCAGTCATAGTGACAGCATCCAGAGTCTCGAGAATAAATCTCCGAGTGCCTCGGCATTTTCTTTGTCATTTTCTTTTCAAATCTACCGCCGTTCCCCTGCTGCCACTGCAACCTCTCTATGGCTTCTCACAAACAACACTCACATTCTGAGAAACAACATTCGTTGCTTTATGAGGAACGGCCTTATCGATCATGGGCTTTTCTTCTCCTACCATCGCTCCTCCTCACTCTACCCGTAACGCTCTCACGCCCCACCAACGCTGGTGAGCAAACGGCTATACACCACGGCGCTCCGTAGATTCCTATATACATCCCTTCCGTAGCTTCCTCATAGCGGCCCTTTGTAATACATCCTCGGCCTATTATGCTCCCTCCCTTCCCCCACTCACTCCCATTTCCACTTCTCTCCCTGGCCCTGCTCTCCCTGGCCCTGCTCTTTCGGCCAACGACTCGCAGCTGCCCGTAATGATGCCTGCACGCTCAACAAGTTGTCCCACTTCCCTCCCCCATTCCCTTGTCATTTCCAGCTCTTCCGCACGCTCCACTCCACCCCATGTTACCGCTGCTCTGCCGCTTCGTGCCGCCTCTTTCCCTCAGCCCCTCGTCCTGTTCCCCCCATCCCCGCAGCTTCCCCCTCCCATGGCTCCGCGCTCTACATCGTCCGCCTGCGCTCCGCACCGCCCGTCGCCTCGTACCGCGGGGGAATCCCTGGCTTCGCGGCAACGGCCGCCTGGGACAGCGACCCTAACGGCAACGCGCCAGGCACCGCCGCATCTGATGATGACGCCCGCGGTGGCGTTGGCACGGCTTCCGCTGCTCCTGTCACTGCTGCTGCTGCTGCCACTAGCGGTTCAGGAGGGACCAGCCGTGTGCGGCGGCGGCCGCGGGTGAACGTGAGGGCGCCGGGCGTGAGGGCGTTCAAGCAGCTGCTGCAGCGCATGCAGCAGGCCGTACTGAGAGACAGCGGGGTGGCCGCGGGGAAGATGGTTTACAGGTGAGGGGAAGATGGTGTATAGGTGAGGGGAAGATGGTGTATAGGTGAGGGGAAGATGGTGTATAGGTGAGGGGAAGATGGTGTGCAGGTGAGCGTGAGAGGAATGTGGGGGAATTGCACGAAAGAACAAGAATACTGACGGCTGCTAGTGCACTTGCGTCTCCTGTTCCTACTGCTTCTGCAGCACATGCGACAGGAGGTGGTGGAGAACAGAGGGCTTACTGTGGTGGGGAGGGAAGGTGAGCTGTGGTGGAGGAGAGGGAAGGTGAGCTGTGGTTGAGAGGGAAGGTGAGCTGTGGTGGGGAGGGAAGGTGAGCTGTGGTGGGGAGGGAAGGTGAGCTGTGGTGGGGAGGGAAGGTGAGCTGTGGTGGGGAGGGAAGGTGAGCTGTGGTGGGGAGGGAAGGTGAGCTGTGGTGGGGAGGGAAGGTGAGCTGTGGTGGGGAGGGAAGGTGAGCTGTGGTGGGGAGGGAAGGTGAGCTGTGGTGGTTATCGAGACGTTTGTCCAAGGCCCAGGCGATTCAAAGGCGGATGCAGCAAGCTGTGGGAGCATGGCGGATGGGCTGACATCTCAGAAACCCATCTCAGAAATGGTCAAATCACCGCCCTGCACCGCACCGCACCGCACTGAACCGACGGATTGACGTATCTACGTCATGACTGGGCTGCTTCCCTCCCAGGCCCTCTCATGGCAAGAAGATTGGGTTCCCCTGCCCTCCCTGCCCGTCCTCCTTCCCTCCGTCTCAGCTACGTGCATGTGTTGAATGGCTTTGCAGCGACCCTCACCCCTTCGTTTCCCCTACCCGCCTCCCCTGCGCGCCTTCTCTCTTCTTCCCCTGCCCACCCTCCCCTGCGCGCCTTCTCTCTTCTTCCCCTGCCCACCTTCTCTCTTCTTCCCCTGCCCACCCTCCCCTGCGCGCCTTCTCTCTTCTTCCCCTGCGCGCCTTCTCTCTTCTTCCCCTGCGCGCCTTCTCTCTTCTTCCCCTGCGCGCCTTCTCTCTTCTTCCCCTGCCCACCCTCCCTCCCTCCCCCCTTCTCAGCTACATGCACGCATCCAACGGCTTCGCAGCGACCCTCACGGCAGCGCAGGTGCAGCGCATGAGGCGGCACCCCTCCGTGGCGTCCGTCACGCCCTCTCGCACCATCACACGCCGCCGCGCCGTCACTGCCGCCGCCGACGGGCACAAGTCTCTCAACCTGCCCCACGCCCGTGCTGCTGCTGCTGCTGCCACTGCTGCTGCTGCTGCCACTCCTGCTGCTGCCACTCCGGCTGGAGCGCCGAGCGATGGTGATGACACGGTGATTGGGATTGTGGACAGCGGCGTGTGGCCGGAGCACCCCTCCTTTGACGATACGGTACGCTGAGACCCCTCCTTTGACGATACGGTACGCTGAGACCCCTCACCTTATGAGCAGCTGCTGCTGCTGTTACTGCTGCCGCTGCTGCTGCTGCTGCCGCCGCCGCCGCCGCCGCTGCTGCTGCTGCCGGAGAGACTAGTAGTGGTGTTGTTGATGCTGCTGTTACCTCCTTCCTTCCCTTCACCATCCTTGATGACGTGTCCTCCCTCTCTTCCCTCGCTCCTCCTTTTTCCATCTCGCCGCTCCCTCCCTTCTCCTCGTTCTCCTTCGCATCCCCCCTTTGGTTCCCTCTTTCCCATCCTTTCATCTCGCCGCTCCCTCCCTTCTCCTCATTCTTTCTCCCTTCTCCTTCGCATCTCCTTTGGTTCCTTCTTTCCCATCCTTTCATCTCTGCCTCCCCGTCCCACCGCAACAGACGACTATCGTCACCAGCTTTTTTTCCAATCAATTGCCCCTCCACCCTCCTCGTCCCCGCCAGGGCTACAGCAGCACGCTCCCTGCCGGGTGGGCGGGCACGTGTCCCACTACAAGCGACTTCGCTTGTAACAACAAGATCATCGGAGGGGGCATCTTTCACGCGGGGTTAGAGAGCACGCATAGGGACAGCTTCAACCTCACCCTCAACTGGCTGTCCCCGCGGGATTCTGATGGCCATGGCACTTGGTGTGCCGGGTGAGTGTAAGGATGTGTGGTGAGTGTAGCAGTTATGTGCGGTGAGTGCAAGGATGTGCCGTGAGTGCTGGGACGTGTGGTGACATGTGTGGTGAGTGTATGCAGTAGCAGTATGCAGGCAGCAACAGCAGGCAAATAGCGGTGGCAGGAAGCAGCAGCAGCAGGCAAGTGGCAGCAGCAGGCAAGCGGCAGCAGCAGGCAAGCGGCAGCAGCAGGCAAGCGGCAGCAGCAGGCAAGCGGCAGCAGGGGAAGTGCCAGTGGCGATGCCATGGCCTTGCATGGTATTTTTTTTAGAATTCTCAAGAAACACACGCTGCATGGTATGGTGTGGTCTGCCTTGGGATTGCACAGCGTGGCGTGTTAGATAGTAGTTTGGCAGAGAGGGGGGAAGAAGAATATGCATGTGGTGTGGCCAGGACATTCCCGTCCCGTCCCTTCATAGCCGCTCCTTCCATTCACTTCATACCCATGTCGCCCCACCCTTAGAGCGGCAGCGGGCAACAGCGGCGTGAGCATGCCTGGCTGGGACACGGTCAGTGGCGTGGCTCCCAAGGCACGCCTGGCCATCTACAAGGTGTACTGGCACAGCACGCGTACTTACGATATACGCGCTTCAGAAATAGACGTCTTTGCAGCCGTTGATCGGGCCGTGGCGGACGGTGTGGATGTGCTGACCCTGTCGCTGGATGACTCGTCGCACACAGAAATTATGGGCGACGGCAAGGGCACCGGAGCCTACTTTGACGATGTGCCTTTCCTCGGCGCCCTTGCGGTGGGTGTCAGGGGCGTGCGGTGGGTGTGGTGTGGCTTAGCTGGTTGGCCCTAGCATGTTCTTGGATTCACGTGCATGCGAGTGCGGGGGTATTCTTGAGTGTGAATTCGCATGCAACTCACCGCTTTCTACCCTCCCTCCCTCCCTCCCTCCCTCCCTCCCTCCCTCCCTCCCTCCATCAAACCGGGCTATTTGTAGAATTCGCAGTAGGCAACAACACCTGCCCGTCACCGACACCTGAGATTCACCGACACCTGAGATTCACTGACACCTGAGATTCACTGACACCTGAGATTCACTGACACCTGAGATTCACTGACACCTGAGATTCACTGACACCTGAGATTTACCGACACCTGAGATTTACCGACACCTGAGATTCACTGACACCTGAGATTTACCGACACCTGAGATTCAGCAATTTGAAACCTTTCAACCCTTTGCCCCTCTCAGTCCTCATTCTCGCCTCTTCTCCCCCCGTCTTTTCCCCCACTCCCTCCTTCAGGCCGGAGTGACTGTGGCCCGGGCAGTGGGCAACAATGGAGAGGCCAAGTTCCATTACATGTATGGTACTCTTGTGGGTATCGGCAACTTTGCACCCTTCTATATCAGCGTGGGGGCAAGGTGAGAGTGAGGAGCGCTAATATCAGCATGAGAATGAAGAGTGGCTGAGGTTGCATTGCGTCCCCATGCTCTTACGGAGGACGGCCTCATGCATGCTCTGCAACGGGGTGACATGAGATGCTATCACCCTCTACTGCTACATTCATGACATGCCATGAGTGCATGTGCACGCGTTGTCCTTTGCAGGCAAGGCAAGGTACGTGCTTGTTTGTTCTACGCGCTGCAGCTTTGCGCTGCACTACTTTTTCCTCTTTTTCTTCCCTTGAATCATGCGTTTTCCCATGCCCCCTTCCCTCGTCTTGCATCTCTCCCTCGTCTTGCATCTCCTGCTGCCCTTCTCATGCTTACACACACCTTCCATGCCTCACCATGCAGTACGCTGCCACAGGCTTCCCTCACCTTAACATCAACATCAACATCAACATCCACAGCAGCAGCGGTAGAATCTCCTGCAAACACCACAGGCCCAGCAGCATCAACACTGCTGGGAACCCCACTCCCAGCCACCATCTCCCCCGCAGAAGACACCGCCCTTCCCATCGTTCCCACCTGGTCCTCCACCGGCCCTCTCACCAAACCCGGCTGTTCATTATGCCAACCATTGAAGCTCCTCCGCCGCGCCAACGCCATTGTCAAGCCAGACATCATCGCCCCGGGAGTCGGCATCCTTGCAGCTGAGCCTGGGCAAAAGGTCGGCGAGACGGGGTCGTTTAGGGGTTATTATGAGGACACTGCCATCTCTGCGGCGCTTGTTGCTGGTGTGGCTGCTCTGATCATCCAGCAGCATCCTGATTGGACGCCCGCGCAGGTCATGTCTGCAATGATGACAACAGCTGGCCGCACTGACAGCAGCAACAGAGTGATTCGGAATGTGAATGGGGAACCGGCAACGCCCTGGCAGATGGGAGCGGGGCATGTGTTTCCCGCTAGGGCGCTTGACCCCGGGCTGACCTACGATGCCGGGGAGCAAGATTTTCGGAATTTCCTTGCTGGGCTGAACATGAAGCTGGCTCGGAGGGTGTTCGGGCCGGTGCAGCTGACACCCGTTGCACCCAGGCACCTGAACCGGCCTTCTATCTCGCTAATCAACATAATCACTAAACTCACCGCTAGGCGGACTGTGACGAGTGTTTCAAACACCACATCGACCTACAGGGTGAGGGTTAACGCCCCTGAGGCAGTGAGAGTGAGAGTGGTGCCATCGCAGTTTACCATAGCGCCGGGGCAACGGGTCAGTTTCAAGGTGACGGTTGTGGTGAGGAGCAAGTTCAAAAGGTTCAAGTACGGCAGCCTCACATGGGAGGATGACAAGGGGCACTCTGTGCGCTCAGTCCTTGTTCTCCATTGCAAACCTACTTGCATGTACTATTGCTAGATCATTAAGTTGTGTCAATCAGAGGTGCGCCGTGCAAGCATAATGTATTTCTATTACACACTACTCAAATCTGAGGGTACCAGTACATTCCCACAAGTTACGCTTTGATTGGCGCGTTCCAAACATAACAGCTTTATGATATGAAGGCCTTGGAATTGCAGTATGTTTAAAGAGCATCGTTGGCCCTTGCAGAGCTGGTGGGGATCAGGGCTCTTGCTAACTTTTAGGCCCGTCTGACGTTTTTCAAAAAAAAAAAAAATCGTCTTGCCCTCATATGGAGGATTCGTGATGGTCTTTGCCTCAGACGGAATTTCTAAGATCGATTGTCCGCACAGACAGATTTATACGAAATCAGACATTTATGTAACTATGTAGTCTACTCTACACACAGACTACACTATTTCTACAAATAACCATACAAAGAATACGAACTAGGATTCACTATCGCTATCATGAGAATAATCTTCGTCATCGTCCCCGTCTAGCTCTGAATCTGAAGACATGTGCACTTTGCCGTGGCCTGCCCGTCTCTGCCAGGGGCCCAACTCCTCCTCTAGCCTAGCTGCTTCTTCTGCAGCTGCTGCTTCACGAGCAGCAGCATCTGCTGCTGCTGCTGCTGTTGCTGCCGCCTGCTTCGCGGCCAGCATCGCAAGGGTCTTCTTCGTGCGCTTCACGGGCCTCTGCGCATGCACCATCACCACATCCTTGGCTGGACGCCTCCTCTTCGCGCCTCTCCACAGCTCCACAAGGGCGGGCCAGTCAGGTTCGTACTTCAGCATGGAGACGGTCATCAGGTCGCCCAGCTTCGCGTCGTTAAGATTGCCGCGTAGCCAGCTCTTGATGATGTTCTGGCGGGAGAAGCCCCGCTCGCACTCCACGGTGCTCAGGGGCAGCACTGCGACTGCCATCCAAAGGCGGACCAGGTTGGGGTAGGCAGTGCACCAGTCGGGGGAGTTGAGCATCTGCTTCAGGCCGTCCTGGAAGCTCAGCTCCTGCTGATGGGTTGACATGATGGTGGTGAAACTGCTGAGCTCCTTCTGTGCCCTCGTCCAGTTGACTCCTGGTGGCAGGGTGCGAATCAGAAAAAAGTTTAATGTTAGACCGCGCTGGTGTTCATAAGCCACCAGGCTCAAAGAAATCAACGAGGCATAAGGCGACACAAACAACATGTTCGACTCAATCAGGCACTACCGACATCGAAGACGTACCTGGCAGGGTGTCAGGGTCGGTCGGTTTTCGCTTAAACAGATTGCGGAGAGCCTCCAGCCACTGCAAGAACCGCCGCTGCCGCTTCGAGTGAGATTTCGGGTACGCCCCCTGCGTGAACAGCTTGGCGCCCTCGAGAGAGCCCAAATCCTTCATCCGGCTCTCCAAACGCTTCAGCAGCTCCTTCACGTACCCCTTCGCCAGTGTGATGCAGTCGTCCAAGCCCTCGCCAGATTTCTGACCTTTAATCTTCTCCTCGTGGAGGGTGTACTCATGAGTGGTTGGCGCCCCAGTCGAGTCGGTGCCCGTCACCTTCACCACCCTCTTCTCCGACGACGCATGCTTCGCCAAAAAGGCGCTCAGCTCGTTGCTCCCCTCTCCGAAGTCGTCCGCGTCACTCAGGTAACGGTTGCGGAGGGTGAGCCTGGTGTTGTCCACCATCTGCAGCACGTGCGTCACATCAACCTGCCACACACATGAGAGGCCGTGGAAAGGCTTGCACGGGTCAGTGTCACAAAAATTAGATTCAACATCATAATACAAAACCCGTCAAAGCAACGAGTGTAACAACATACCTGCCGTCGCTGGAACTTGAGGTTGAGTGCGTCGAGTTCCTTCAACACATCAGCCAAGAAAAACAGGAGGAAGTGGAATTTAAAGCTGGTTACAAGGAGGTAGGCCTTCGGGTCGTTCTCGTACAGCAGAATGACAGCTGCTGGAAGGTTGTCCGCCAGACGTTGAACTGCCAGACCACGTGAAAGCCACCTGACGCTGTGGATGCCCTGCAGCTTCAGGTTTGTTTGGCAGAGCACCTCCTGCAGCTCTTTGAAGCGTAGGTGGAAGTTGCCCGACCGTCCAAGCTGCTCCGCCAATGAGCGGAGGACTCTGTCGACGAGGTCAAGGTCGGGGTAGGCCTCGGCGGCATCCTTTGCCGCCAAAGCTTCCCTGACACAGCACGGGAAAAACGATAAGTTAGATAAACAGGCAACGCATGGAAAAAATAACACATGTCGGGTTACACACCTGTGCGCGACGCAATGGAACCCGGCGAGGTGTGGAATCCGTGTTCGAAGGCGCGCCACCAGGCCCGTCTGAGAACCGACCATGACGCTTGCACCGTCGGTGCTGATGCCACTGACGCGTTCAAGTTCGAGGCCGGTTCCTTCTAAGTGGGTTAGAAGGACTGCCTGCAGGGAACCAGCATCGCACTGCTCAACTGTTAGGTGCACGAAGAATTCAGTGACTGGCGTGTTGTTGCGGAGGAATGACAGATAGACGATGATGTGTTTTCCTCGTCGACGGTCCGTGCTCTCGTCCAACTGAATGCCCAGGTAAGGACTCTCCCGGATGTGCTTCATCTGTTGAGCACGAAGGTAGACGACGAGTACCTCGACCAACTGCGCGAACCCGTACCTGCAACGATCAGGAAAAAACCATCTTAGAAACAAGCGGGTTTTAACAAGCGGGTCCCCCAAAAGCATACCAACACTTACTCGCTGTAGTATGTGCCGGAATCCTTCAGGGGCATGTCTGGCGTGCCCATTTCTGCCATGAACTGGACCAGCGACACAAACAGCACAATGGGTGAGTCACTTCTGCAAATGAAAATAACTGTTGCCAATAGTTTGCCAAACGGTTGGCATCCGCGTCACCGTTTTCGAAGTCGACAATAGTCTTCTGAGCCGCATTTTTGCCGTCTCGAAGCTTTTGTCGGTCCACTGCCGCCTCATGCTTGATCGAATGTTGGTGCTTCCGCATCGTCTGTCGTTGAATGTCGAGCCCACCCTCCCCGTCACGGCCGTACTGGTAGCTGGGGTCACCGTGCACCATGCAGATTGAGCACCTCATACAGGGTTGACCCCATGAGGTTTGCGAGATGATGAGCCACGGGAAGTGCTTGAGCCATTTCTCCTTCGCCTTCTCCTTCCACTGCTGGACGGTCAGGACATGGGGGTACTTATCGTCCTTGTCGGCGGCGGCGGGTTTTGATGGGCCTGGACGAGGTGTGAAGCGGGGGACGGTAGCTGGGGCGACACCTGGAGTGGGACGGGCAAAACTGAGAACACGCTGTTTGAAATTGCCGTTCCCAACTCTAACGCGAGAAAAAGAGATTGCAGGTGCGGTGGTAGCCACAGATGCCGAAACGAGCGGGGGCGACGACTCACCTTCAGCCGTGCTAGGCTGGGTCGAGGTCTCTGCCGCATCTGACGTGGATGGCGAGGGGATAATAGGCTCGTTGTTGCAGGACGAAATGACGTTGGGGGGAGGAATTATAGGCGGAAAAGTCCCTACTGCGGCAGTTGTGGTTACTGGAATCGCGGCGGGAGCTTTCCGCGTTAAGAAATCTAACGCGGATACCAGGGGCGCCTCAGGTACCGCGGGTGAATCACGCTTAGCGTTGTCGGTTGAGGCGGGTGCGCCATGTTCGTCTAGCATGGTATTGTGTGGTGAGACACATGACGGGACGGGACGAATTGAAACGGAGAGAGAGCAAGGATGGTAAAAGAAAGGCTTGGAGAAGAAAGGATGGGTGGTAAGGAAGGACCGTCTTGTCACGAACCGCACCTCTCTGACGAGGGTCTCACGAAATGCGATGGCAGCCCATGCATGCCTTGTTTGCTGTACACCGACTGTCCTTGCACTCTGCCAGCGAGGGAGGGGGAAACGTGGCAGCGGCGCCGACAACAGCTACCTGACAGATGCGTGGCAGCAACTGAGTCAGATGCAAAGTGCGCTGGCAGGAAAAATCCAAAACTAACCCCGGCGCCCACACGCAAATATCATTACGCGTGATCACACAGGCAACACATCGCTGCTCCACTGGCCAAGTGGGCCAGTTTGTCTCTTTCAGACGAAATTATACGCGATTTCTACTTAATCAGCTCGCTTGCTATAACTCTTCTGAAAAAACATATGTTCATATAGCATTTGTCTGGGCTCTCATATGGCCCCAAAGGCAAAGTCTGCCGCAACATATGAACTATACATTTTGTGCCTGAAACCTAGACCAACAGACTAATTTAGTCTGCTAACGAGAGCCCTGGTGGGGATGTCATTGAGTGAGTTTGGCTCCCGTCTTGGGAGGGAGTTATGGTACTGTGGTTCCCCAAGTTTCCAACTCATGAGTTTTTCCCCTCCTACCTGCGGGGGGGGGGGGAAGCGGGGGAGAGATGGAGAGGGACCCACCCACCACCCTACACGACACTCTTTGCAGCAGCAAAGCAACAGTTTGTTCGCGCCTCCCAACCACAGACAGGGTACCGTAGCTGCACAAGCAAGTGATTAACCTTCGCTTCTTTGCCCCCCAAAGTGCAATGTCGCTTTAACTTCTAGTGTTGGCATGTGAATGGCGTGCCAGGGATGCCATTCCTTTGTACACGCTTGCTGACTGTTGCGTGCCGGAAAGGAAACAAAGGATTCGAAACATGCGGGACAGTCAGTGTAGTACTCTAAACCCAGAAAAGAAACGCCAGGCCTGTTAAGCAACGTCTTTAGAGGCGAGGCGACCAGTGATGAGGTGTGCTGGGGTGTGATGGGGTGTGCTGGGTTGTGATGAGGTGTGCTGGGGTTGTTAACGGGAATGGAGTGTTGGCCCCGCCCTCGCTTGGGCAACGCCGACGACTTGGTCGGATGCACGGGAGTAGCAGCCGACTTTTCACAGTGGGATAGCTGCTCGACAGGTTACGTCGAGCGGCAGCGGACCGCTGTGGTGTTGCTGTCGATCAGGATGCTCAACAGCTGCAACTGACTGGCCTGGGCGACGGGTGAGCCGTCCGGGAGGTCGACGAAGCAGT